ATTTTATGCAAGTTGGTTTTGAGTTTGTCATTCATCTTCATCCACTAATGCTTGTAATTGTTGGTCTTCAAACTTTTTCGGTTGACCTGGACGTTCTTTGTCTTTCACACCGAAAGCATCACTTTTCAAGCGTTTAAACCAGCGTTCACAGGTATTTTGAGATGGAGCATGTTCACCATAAGCTTCCCGAAATATACGGTAACTTTCAGCAGCACTTCTTCAAAATAAAGTAATGAATTAAAACTTCCCGCAGATGCTCTTTTTTTGGGCACAGAATTGGACATTTTTAAATGTAAAAATATCTGTGATGTTAATACCTTCAGCAAATTTGACATATGAAGTTTTGAAGCTTGCTGTCACTACAACAAAATAGCATACATATCAAATCGCATATGTATCAACATATATGTAACTTCATCTGTTGAAAAGAATCTGCATTATTAACTGGTACGCCTGGTAAACTTAACCATAATTTATCGCCTGAATATTCATTTAAAATAAAATTTTTGCAGTCTAAGTATTTCTGTTCACTGACCAGTTTTATTTCTGTCAGTGTATCTTATGGAAGTAATTATTGTGTAACAGAAAGGATTGGTTTAATTTGATGAATAGACAACAAAACGTTGTACAGACATACGCTTTTGTAACATAAAAACATCGCTAGATGTTTATGACGTGATAGAAAGTGACTTTTTGTAAGGTTGTGCTCTCATTTACCGAAAACGCGGACTTATGCAAAGATACATAGGGCTCAGGTTCCTCTCGGTGGAGAGACAAGGTGACGTCATCTCTGCTCAGCTCTGCAGTCGGAGGAGTGCTGAGCCCTGGCACAGGCAGCCTGGTGAGGGGTGGGTTCTCTGTGAGCCATGGCTGCTGTGCTGGTTTCCCGAACGCGGGGGCTCACCTGTTGGCCTGTCTCGGGCTGTCGGGAATGGGCACTGGTGGGAAGGGTCAAGTGTACGGCACTGGTTGCTGTAGACGTGTCTCTCCCATGTTGGTTAAGGACAAGAGACACCTGTTTCTGTACTCAGTTCTTTATGAGGTGTTGAGCTACAAGGAGCAGATTTTAAAATCCTTTCTTAAAACTAACGAGCCATAAAAGGACCTGACTCTCCGTGTTGTACGCACTCCGTCAGCGCTGCCCTGATTTAAGAGGCTTTTTGGAATAAGGTCCCTGTGACTCCTGTGCTCGGGGAGAACCTGGTGCTGGTCTGTGTGCCTGTGTTGCGACGTGAGCTGCTGGCCTGGGGAGGGCGTGGCTGTGCCCATTAGTCCTCAGTGACGTGTGTTCTGGGCGTGCCCTGGGGACGTGTGGCTGTGCTCCTCCCGCTCGCTCACCGCGCCTCCTTGCTGGCTGGGTCTGAAGCCGGTGCCTGTGTGTGTTGATAAGCACCTGTGTTCCCCCTTGGCTAGAGCTCCACTCGCCTGGACAGTGACAGGGTGTCGTCCGCCTGCAGCACAGCCGAGCGGGGCATGGTGAAGCCGATGGTCCGCGTGGAGCAGCAGCCCGAGTACCGCTGGCAGGAGAGCAGGTAAGACTGGTCGCTTTCCATTAGGAAAGGAGGGACGCTGCCCAGAGGGTCGGGGTACAGCTACCGCATCTGTAGCGGCTGCGCTGACCTGGCTAGAACGTTCGAGGAAGGCAGAGTAGTTCATGGTGTTGACGTGGGAAACGCCCTGATAGTTGTGTCCCTTTTGTCCGCTGCTCTCCGGGTCGGAGAGGACGCGTGTTGGCTTCAGCGTTTCTGTGTGAAGTGTGCTACTCTGAGCCGTGGAGTGCGTTTCTCTAGGACTTGACTAGTTGGTCATCTCACCCGTTCTTCAAAGAAATTCCCACGTCTAAAACGCAGAGCCAGGGTGGTTTAGCCCGAGGCGCTGGTGCCGCCTCTCTCCCTCGCCCTCCTGCTCCCGGGTGGTCTCCTGCGGAGACCTGGGGTGGAGTCAGTGTTCCTTCCTGCCTTGGTCCTGCCGGTGTTTGCACAGAGCACTGCCTTTCCTTACTTCCTTTCCCCGTGATCCTTAAATTCTGTGTCACTTGTACCTCACTTCTACTTCCCTGGGGTCTGCCATTGTGGCCATGGGAAGTTACGGTCAGTGCCTCCAGCGTGGCGGTTAGCAGGCGGTGCGTCCAGTGGCGGGGCCTGACCTGCAGCTGCTGGTGCTGAGTGTGCTGGGCCCGCAGCTCCGCCAGAGCTGGGACACCGCTGGATGCCCGGCCGCTCGCAGCAGCAGCCCTGTGGGGCGCCCCTCCTCTCTGGGTGCTAGTCTGAGTTTCAGGGCGCCGTTCTGACTGCTCCTTCTCAGTCCAGTAGCTGAGGCGCTAGCTGAGGCTGGTGGTCACTCACCCAGGCGGTGACGGCCACAGGTCCAGGCCGTCCCTTCCCCATCCGCCAGCAGAGGTCTCAGTGTCCATCACAGGGACTAACTGTGTAGGTTCATGTGGGACCTCAGGGCTGCACCGTGTTTGTGGTCTGGGCTTTGGTTCTTCATTGAGTGTGCTGGCTTTGTTTTTTAGACGTAATAGCGAATCGTCTACTTCCTGTGTCTGTGCCTGTGTTTGGTGGTGTATTCTAGAATAAGATGGCGAATGGTATATTTGTATTGTAAGGAGCACCTCTGTTTATTTATAAGGTGATCAAGAGGCACGTGTCATAGTCCTGAGCCAATGAATATTTGAGTGAGTGAATGAAGACGTGAGAGGGAAAGATCAGTTAGGATAATGCTCTTAGGATATGCACAGTTAGTACGTGCACGTAATAAAGGGAAGGTAGTCAGATAATGGTGCTAAAATAGCACAGTGCTAGTTATTAGGAATGTTCCCAAATGACAGCTTCTCTTTGCTTGTGTTTTAGGCAGCTCCTTGTTGTTGTAGCGTCAGGCTAGGTGCTGCAAAGGGGCTTGAATTCGTGTGACTTTGAGAAGAAATGTGAGTGAGAAGGGTGTGTCCCGAAGCAGGCGTCGCTGAGCATCGAGAATGCTGACCGCGTGGCTGCAGGGGCCTGCGGGGTCCTGTCTGACTCGGCTGGACAGAAAGACCGTGGGCAGCGGGGCATTCCTCCCTTTCCTGAGTAGATGGTCTGTGTCCCCAGCAGTGTCTCCTCACTGTCACCTGAGCCATCGCCGCAGCAGGTGTCTAGCGGCCTGCTCTGCGCGGGCGTGAAGCCTCGTTAATAATGGAGTCAGGGCGGGTCTGCTCTCCCCGTGGAAGCAGGTACCCAGAGGGGCTGGCCTGTGCCCAGTGGGATGTGACAGCTGTCAGTTTGCTCATTTGAATATTTGCATACGTCACATGTGAAAAGGAGGCAGTGGGCTCTTCCTTATCCAGAAAACTGTACAGAGGTTGTTTGTAAGAGTTTCAGAGCTCTTCACAGGTTGATAGGATGCTGTTAGCTCCGTGACCTGGCTTTAAGAGCCCCATTCTTCTTGCAGAACGCAGGATGCTCCTGGGCCTGAGCTGGTGCTGCCTGCAAGCATTGAGTTCAGGGAGAGCTGTGAGTATTCACATTCCACTGGTAGTGAACTTTTCTTGTCCATTTTTCTCCATCTGATATTCATGTTTTCTTTCTTTTGTTCTTCTTTTGGGAAACTTCACAGCTGAAGATTCATTTTTATCTGCTATTATAAATTACACGAATAGCTCCACAGTCCACTTTAAGTTGTCGCCTACGTACGTGCTCTACATGGCCTGCCGGTACGTATTGTCGAGCCAGTACAGACCGGAAGTGAGTCCCCCCGAGCGCACCCACAAGGTGATCGCTATCGTCAACAAGATGGTGAGCATGATGGAAGGCGTGATCCAGGTAAGCCCGCGTGGCCAGCTGTAAACCTGGGAGGGCCGGTTCTTTAATGCTTCAGACTTGGTTTCATATTTGACTTTATCTTAAGAATTTTTCCTAAAAGTTACATATATTATATGGAAACTGAATAGCTTTAAAAGTTGAAAAGAAATGTAAAGTCTTTTCTATTTCTTCCCCACAAACTTGAGAATAAGGGAAGGTAAATTGTACATGGTCACATGATTATCATGAAGAAGACCCTTAAAATTACAATAGTAGTTGTGAGAAAGTATTGCGACTTGATGTGGGTTTCTTAGAATTAAAAATAATGATAATGTATTGAGATGAAATTCATGAACCTTTTAAAGTGAAAATTCTCATGATCTCACTTATTCATGGATAATTGAGACCATTATAAACTTTTGAACAATAATAGATACAGAGGCAGAGCTGCCTCAAACAGAGTGTCAAACTGCATCGGGAAGGCCGGGGAGGGTTCGGGGGCGGGAGGTAGGGGGGTAAGAGATCAACCAAAGGACTTGTATGCATGCATATAAGCATAGCCAATGGACATAAGACACTGGGGAATAGGGGAGGCCAGGGGACTGTCTAGGGCGGGGGGGAAAAATGGATACATATGTAACACCCTTTGTAGTA